TAGTTTATATCAACGAAATAATTCACATTATTAAAAAAAATTTTTTTTTTAGCGTCGTCTCATTTAAGTTGGCAACGCCGTTAAACAATTTTATTAAGCGCCGTCTCATTTACGTTGGCAACGCCGTAAAACATTTTAACCGTCAGATCAAGCGTGCCATGAAGCCGAGAGGAAGAAGACATCCACAAAATGTGCCTGTTATTTTTGGAAAAGAAAATGAAAGTCCACTGCAAGGGAAGACATCGAATAATTCAATAAGAAGATATAAATCAATGAAATTGGCGAAAATATTTGTGGTGAGTTTATATTAAAATTAATTAATTATTTGTCTTTGCTTCGCGTCTGGTGCCTTTTACTAAATTGAATGCTTTGTGGGGAAACAAATTAATATGCTAAAACTAGTTATTGCATGCAAAAAAAAAGTAATTTTAAAGCTTTGTGCCTTTATTTTAATTATCAAAAATGAAAATTTTATTAATTTGAAACAACATAACTTTCATTAATATCTGCTTGCATTTGATTAATTGCCTGTTAATATGGGGTGTTTTTTTCCCCCTCAAAAAACTTTTTTATTAAACCGTGAATTGATGTTTTAATTGGACCTTTAAGGTCTTCTAATTATTTAAATCGATACATTCAGTTTAATATTGAACATGTGACAAACAAATTTGTTTGTCCATGTTGTACCTAATTGTAAAATTTTGTGCGCATATAAAATGTTTTTATCAATATTTGAATCACTATCGAAAACATTAAAGGATCAAAAATTTTTATTTATTAACATTGTCGTGTTCACAATCAGTGCCAACAATTGTTTGTTTGTTTGTTTGCAGGTTTTTCAAAATTAAATATAATAATGGAATTTGACATTTTATAAATAAATTATCGAATAGTAAAATCATTTAAGATTTTAAACTTTGTTCGAGTCATAATATTTTTAATTAATTTTAACTCGAGTTTAAAAAAATACTAATCGCATACATAATTGATTGAAAATTACAATCATAGTAATTTATTATTACATTTAACTTCTTCATCTTTTTTTTTATTATTCGTCATTAATTACATTATTTTTTCATTATCATTACAAAGTACAAAACGAGTGAAATGTCAAATTAATTAATTTCTTTTTTTTTTGTAACGACCAAACTTTAACCATAAATTAAAATTCATCAAGTGTGCACACATTGCATAACTTTATTTATTAAAAAAAAAAATGTTATTTATATATTTAATTAACCGTGTAATTAAAACAAAATGGGAAAAATTTATTAAATTGAAACTATTTGTAAAATTTAAATGAACCAAACTTTTTTTTTAAAAATTCTTATTAATAATCAACTCGAATCGAACAAACAAACAAACAATTTTTTCTTTTTCATATTGACAAAACCAAATTGAAAATGTAAGTAAATTTTAGTCATGTCATCACATAGGTATATGTGACTTTTTTTTTAATATGTGCCTGCCTGCCTGCCTGCCTGCCTGCCTGCCTGCCTGCTATTGTGTTTGAACCCTGTGTGTGTATGTGTGTGTGTGTTGTCTGTGTGCCTATATTTCATATGTCCGAGTTCATTGTTACGGGTCGGTGTTTTTTTTTAGTTGTTGAAATCGAATTTATATAAATCAGAAATAATTTTTTCTCTAGAAAATTCTAAAATGTTTAAAATATATGAAAATAATAATAATAATAATTTAAATTACACATTTAAAAGAAATAATTGGGCAACTGTTAGTTTACCATACAGAGGACAAAGAGCCATAAATTATTGCAATGTGAGTAATAATAATAATTTTTTTAAACTTTAACTTTAATTATTATCATTATTATTTTATATTATTATTTTTATTAATTTAGGCGTTGGAAAAAAAACATTTTCATTCACACCATACAAAACGGTTTTTTATTTTTTATTTTATTAATGATCGTTATTATTATTATTATTATTATTATTTATTGTCAAAACAAATTTTTTTTTTTTTTTTTTCCATAAATATTTTTTTGCGAATCCATGCATGCATGAATGAATGAATGAATGAATGCAGCGAATGATGATGATGATGATGATAATTATTATACATATAATAAAAAATTAATTTTATTTTTGTCGTCGGTTGGTTACCATAAAGTTATTATTATTATTATTATTATTATTATTATTATTATTATTATTATTATTATTATTTAATTGAATCGGCCGAAATAATTAGGAAAAAAAATTTCGTAATGATAATTAAAAATTTTTAATTGCGTTAGTAGAGTTTTTGTAATTTTTGTAATTTTTAATTATTTTTTTTTTATTGTTTTTTTTTTGGTTGTTGTACGTTTGGTTGTTGGTGATGATATCGTAAAAGTATCATTATATTTTTCACATAAATAATCATCATTATTTACGTGATTACACTTGGGTTAAATTTGATAAGGTACATATTGTTGTTAATGTGAAAATGTTTTGATTTTGAAAAAATTCAACCATTTTGTTTTTTTTTTTTTTTTTTTCGATTTCAAAATTGATGAAAGATTAGATTGACGATGATGATGATGATGACGATGACGATGATGATGATGATGATGATGATTGTTTGTTTTAAAAAAAAGAAAAAGTTAAACGAAAATTTTTTGGGTTTTTTTTTCTTTTCTTAAAAGTATGTCGTCATAGTTAAAATTAAACATTTCGATCATTTTTATAATATATTTCGAAGAAAAACGGTCAAGTTTTTGTTGTTGACGGTTGTTGTTGTCGTTTGTTTAATATTATTATTATTTTTAGTCACCTACCAGAAATTTTTTTTTTTTTTTTTTTTTAACGTCACTCTCGCCTTTTTTTTAATGTGGCAAATATTAAAATACGCAATAAAAAAATGTGTGTGACGTCATAATAAAGAGGTTAATAATTAGTAGTTCTGATAGATTTGTCGTACGAAACGGAAAAAAAAAAAAAAAAAAAAAATAGGCCGTTCGTTTGTCGTATTTCGTCGGGTCGATGTCATCAATTTTATTTTACGAAACAAACAAACAAACAACAATCGGGAAAGAGAAAAAAATTAATTAAAGAAGAGTTAAAATGATATTGTAATTGTTTCCGAAGTATCGGTAAAATTTATTCGGAAAACTAAAATTATCATTATTATTATTAATATTATCATTATTAATATTATTATTATTATCATTCATTATTATTATTATTATTATTATTATCATCATTATTATTATTTTATAAAATTTATCGACTCGGAACTATTCCGTTTCTATTTCTTTTTTTTTTTTTAAATTTCTTTTATTTTAAATTTTTTTTTGCCTGAAACGACTTGCAAATCAAGCAAATTTTATTATTATTATTATTATTATTATCATTATCATTATTATTATTACTATTATTACTTTTTTTATTAAATAAATGATAAATTAAGCGTGTATTTTATTAAACGGTTAATTTTCGTTTGAAAATAAGGAAAAAAAAAAAAAAAATGTGCCTACCGGTTGTTAGCTACGGGTATATTCATCATGAACCCGGTTAATTTTTCAAATAATAATAATAATGATAATAGCAATAATAAATAATGATAATAATGATAATAAAAAACTTTTTTTTTTTTTTTTTCTTTTTTTTTTTAAAAATAATTATTTATTTTTTTATCGGAGATATTCCCATTGAAAAAAATTTACGTTTTTTTTTTTTAATAATGCGACGTATGTATGTATGTAAATATTATTAATAATAATAATAATAATTGAATATTTCTCTCTCTCTCTCTCTCTCTCTATTAGCAAGTTAGAAAATGATTATCGTAATTTATTTTCTGGCCAGGTATGAAAGATAACCTCTATTCGCGTGTAAAAAGAGGGCCAAACCAGAAGAGTTTAGGCTTGTTAAGACTCCACTCCGGTTTGTTATCGCGTTGTGTTTACTTGTTTTTTTTTTTTGTTTTGTTTTTAGTTTTGTTGCATTGGTAATGTTCGATGTGAAACAACAACAACCGGTGTGAAATCGAAATAAATTTTTTTTTTTTTTTTAGTTGTACTTTATGTGAGTTTGTATATTTAGTTGAGTAGTATTAGTTTTATTCGATTATCGGAAAAACCTTTCGAACTGTTTACGAGGAGGGAGGGAGAGGGAAAATCGAACGTGATTATTATTAATTTTTTATAGAGAACGAAAATGCGTTCGTAATTATACGGATGTTGTTTGTTGTTTGTCGTTTGTTTTTTTTTTTTTTTTTTTTTTTTTTGCACGAAAACCAGTTTTCCAATATGATCATCTTTTCATTGTTTTTAGTTTAGTAGTGAAACCTTTGCCATTTAGGTATTACTTAAAGCTTTTACTTTTAAAAAAAAATTTTCATAATATTTTGTTTCTTCTTCTTCTTTTTGTTTGCCATCGGGTGTTTGTTATTTACAATCGGGTCGGTTGTTATTTTTTTTTTTTTTTTTTTTTTTTTTTTTTAAAAACAACAACAACCCGATTTTCTTTTTTTTTTTTTTTTTTAAATATTTCGAAAGGTTTTTTCGAAACTGAAATTACCGGGTCGAAATGATTTTTTATTAATATTATTATTATTATTAATTTTTTAGCGGGGGTTTTGGGGCGATACGAAAAACAACCGGAAATCGGGAAAATTTCGGAAAAAATTGTTTTAAAAAATTATGAAAATGTTTGTTTCGAAAAAATCGAGCAAAACATTATTTTATTTTATTTTGTCGTTTGTTTTGTAAACGAATATAATAAAAAATAGTGATTTAATGTGAATAATACGACAAATAAAATTTTCGGTTTTTTTTTCTTGTTTGTTTGTTTGTTTGTCGTTTGTACCGGTTAACAAACGCAAAAATTTAAGTTTGTAATTGTTTAGTGCGTGCGTGTGCATTTTTATCGATTGATTTCAGGGATTTCAGGAAATCGATCGATTTAATTTTCGTTTTCGTTTTCCTTCCCCCCCCCCCGTTTCGACGGGTTTAAAATTTATTATTATTATTAATTGTGTGAAAATTTGTACCGAAAATGCATAAAGTTTGTTTGTACATATCACCGGCTCCGAATCCGAAACCTGGGAATTTCGTACGTGAAAATAATGATAAAAATATAATAGAAACGGAAAATGTATTGCCCTGGTGGATGAAAGATAGAAACAGTAGTAATAATAAAGCCATTTATTGCAAAAGGCAAAATAAAATTGTTGTCGGTTTGCCTTTGAACAACGATGAGAATTTTAAAAACGTTAAAAAATCATTTTCATCGACGACTTTTAAAGATCCGGAGGTAAGGAACAAAATAATAATAATAATAATTTTTTTATTGTTTTCCACATGTATAAAAAAGTGAAATTTTTTTTAGCATAAAAAGTCCGAATTGTTTTTAAAAAAAACCGGTTAAAAATGACAATAATATAATTTCATTTAATATTTTATCATCTTTCGAACAACTTTTGTTGTTGTTGTCGTTTTTCGATTGAGTTTAATTGGGTTTCGGTTAATGATGTGTTTGTTTGTCGCAAATGTGTAAGGGGGAAACAAACAAAATGTTTGCAGTCGATTCGAAACTCGTTGACACAAACGAAAAAAAATTTCATTTTTTTATTATTATTTATTTTCACTCGTTTCCGATGATGCGTAATATAATTATTCAAGGTGTTTCTTTCTTCTCTCTTATTAAAATACTGGAAATAATGATAATAATAATAATAATAATGATGATTTCTCATCATCATCATTATCGTGATCATCGTTGCCGCAGCCGCCCAGCCGATTGAACTTTTGTTTAAAGTATGATTTCATATGGAAAAAAAAAAAAAAAAAAAGTTAAATATGTTTATAAGAATGATTGTTTTACTCCTTGGCACACCCTCCCTCCCCTTCCCCCCCGTTTGCTTCCCCTCTCGCTTACACTCCTCCTCCTCCCCTCCTCCCCATAATATTCCTACGTTTGAAATGTATTACATAAAAAAAAAATTATTTTTAATTCGCATAATGTTTGAGAAAATTTCAGTAGTTTTAATTTTTTATCATTGTTTTTTTTTTATTATCATTATCATTATCATTATTATTATTATTTATTTCGTTAAAGTTATCTAACGTTTTAAATGGAAAAAAAATGATGATAATAATAATAATAGTAATATTTGAATGAGGATATTTACACATAAACAATATGGAAAAATGTATTAATAATAATAATAATTTTTTTTCTGGTGAGAATGTTTTGACAGGGAGGAGGGAGGGGGAGATAGGGGGCGTAAAAGGATCACTAAATTTATTAAGGTTTTTATCATATCCTGAAAGTTTTTGTTGTTGAATAGGGAAGAAGTATAGTGGTAGTAGAGTTTTTAATTACTGTAACGACTCGGAAAACCTTGAAAACTAATTTGTTAATTTTGTAGTATAAATATACTAAAAGCATAATAATAATAATAATGATGATAAGAAAAATCGTAATGTTTATCATTTCCTTTTTCAAATTGTTATTATTATAAGTAATTAAGGCGATGGCGATGGCGATGGCGGCGACGACGATGCCACGAGGTATTTTCATATTTTTCCAGTTTTATGTAAAATAAAATTCAATTATGTTTTATCAGTTGTTCGAACGTCTCTTTCGTTTTTTTCCTCTTCTTTACGGATAAAATCAATATTTTTACGTGATTGATTTTTATCTGGTGTTGAGAGATAGATAGATAGACAGATAGATAGATAGATAGATAGATAGATAGATAGATAGAGAGAGAGAGAGAGAGAGAGAGAGATAGAAAAATTTCAAAATAATATTTAAAAGAACCACGCCAATTTTTTTGCAATAATATTATAATCAACTTTCTATTTTTCAACAGCTTTTTTTAAAAACTCGGTGAATTATGTTTAAATGGGGGGGGGGCAGTGGTGGTGGTGGTGACCTTCGTACAATAAATTCTTATTATCATTATTATTAACAATTTACAAATTTATTGACGATTTTTGTAAAAACGAAATCGATATATCGATCAATAACCGATTTTGTATTTATAATAATCGATTCCGTCAGAGATGGAATCTTATTATTATTCTCAGGTATTTACGTGTCGTGACGTAAACCAAACAGAACGTCGGAAAGGGGGGAAAAAATAATGATGATGATAATAATAATAATAATAATAATTTTTCATGTAAACATATTGAAAACCTTGGCGGTTATTAATATTATCCTTGATAATTTAAACGGATGGATGAAGAATGGATGAATAATTGGGATGGGAAAAGAGCGTGCGAGAGATGGAAAAAAAAAAAAAATTTATTTAAAAAAAAGACAATAATAATAATAATAATAATAACTGTAGTCCAAAAACCGTTTTGTTTTTTTTAAGGGCATTTTAGGGCAAAATTTTTTTATTTCACGTACGTTTCAAGAATAAAAAAAAATATGTATATATTAAGTTTTGGTTGCTATTTAAGTCGTATCTCTCCGAAATCTTAATTGTTATACTTTTTTTTTAAAAGTTGTTCTCTATTAGGGATGTTCTACGTATTCGGTTAATAAAAATAAGTTTAATGAAATCCTCGATTTCTATATAAAACAAACAAACAGAAAAAGAAAAAAAAATTTCACCGTAAAAATTCATTTCCTTTTCTGTATTTAATTAAAAATTATTTTTTTTCTTTTGCGTTTTCGCAACTACGAACGTTAAACGAAAATAAATATACAAAAAGTGTAACAATCTATTATTAATAGCAGAACATCGTTTCACAATAGAAATTTTTTTTTTTTTAATATAAAAATTAAATATGGCAGATTTCGATATTAAGTGCGAGCACTCACGCATTACGGAGACGTTCGTTAGTTGTTTTAAATAATTTAAAAAGGGGGGGATTAGGAAAAGAACGTGGAAAAAGAATAGAGAGAGAGAGGGAGGAGGGAAATTATTTTCGCGTGTAATTAGACGAGTTTTTTCGGTTGGCTAACCTGTGCTACTCATTCGATAAGTTCAAATGAAATACTTGAAATATTCATAACGTGAGATTTCCGTGGTATTTGACCGCGTGTCATCGCGTTAATTACGTCGTAAATTTTGTTTTTATTTATTAGTGATTAAAATATGGTAGTCAGTCAGTCAGTCAGTCAGCTGTTACCACCACCACCACGTGGTGGTGGTGGTAACAGCTGATATCATCAGCTTGTTATCATCGTGTCGAAGCGCAAAAATTCATCTTTTTACCCCCCCCCCTCTCTCCCCCTCCCTCTCTACTCTCCCAAAAAAAAAAATTCGACGATCCCAAAAAAAAAAAAAAAAAACCATCACGAAATTAATTATTATTATTATTATTATTTTCATTTTAAATGTCATGTTCCGAAAATCATTTGTAATTTTTTTTTTTAACGTAACCTTCAAGATAAATTTAAAAAAAAAAAAAATTGTTGTTTCCTTCACTTATTTCATATTTATTATTAAATTACGTTATTATTATTATTATTATTATTATTAGTATTAGTATTAGTATTATTATCATTACTGCGAGAGATCAAAAAAAAAATGATTCGGTTCAAAAAAAAAAAATGTCAATGAATTGTATCTATCGTAATGATTTTGAAGATGTTTTTTTTCTTTTTTGAATGAAAACAAACATGGAGGGAGTGAGAGAGAGGGGAGGGGGAAGGAGAAGGAGAACATTCCCAAAAATGGGACCGGATGCGAAAATTCCTGTTTTTTTTTTTTAACGGGTGCAAATGAGGAGACTTTATTATTTAGTCGTAAAATAATTTTTTCTGTTTTTTTTTTTTTTAATGTACGTAATTTTGACCAATCATGATTTCAAGATTTTTTATTTATTTATCCTTATTATCATTATCATTATTATTATTATTATTATTAGTATTACTTAAAATTCATTCCCTTGAACTTTTAAAGAATTTTCAACGATTCGAATGGGTTCGATTCCCCCGGGTTACGGCTACGAAATTAGTTTTTTTTTTTTTTTTTAAATAAAATGGCATATGCAAGTAGTGTGCCGTTTTACGCAACTTTAAAGAAAATTTTTTTTTTTTTATTTTCTTACAATGCAATAGTATTATTATTATTATTATGAGGAAAGACAAAAAAAAAAAAGTAATAAATAAAGAAAAAAAAATTGCAGGGTCAATCACGAAGAGTTAATTTTTTTTTTTTTTTTTTTTTATTCTGTTCTATTGCCTAAAGGACTTTAAATTTTTTATTTTTTAATAATATTTAAAATTGTTGTAATAATAATAATAATGATAATGATAATAATAATATTAATAAAATGCTCGGAGTAATAATATCTTAATAAATAAAAAGGGGTTTCTTTCGTAATGGCGCGAAAAGAAAAAAAAAAAAAACGTTTAAAGGAGGAAAGGTGTAAATTATATTTTTTTATTTTTGTTAATTGTTGGGTTCGCGCGTATTTCTGTTGGCGTGGCAGGCACGCAGGCACGCACGCACGCACACGAACGCAGGCACACTCACACGCACGCGTACACGCACGTTATCGTTTTCGATATGATATGTTAATGGCGGCGCTTGTTTTTTTTTTTTTTTTTTTTTTTCTCGCTCCCTGCCAATCAACTTTTCCTTTCCCCCCCCGACGCACACGCACACGCACGCATGCACGCACAAGGCCATCGACTCGGGTTTTAAAAAAATTAATTTATTCGAAATTTTTTTTATATTTTTTTTTTTTGTCAATAATAATGATAATTTTTAAGGTTAAATAATAATTAATGTTAACGGTTTCGTTGTTATTTTTTTTAATATTATTATTATTATCGTCATCGAAACCATTCCAGCGTTTGGAATGAAATACAAATCGATAACACATTCGTTTGCATTCCAAAATGTCGTCCCGTTTGCAAACACGGACACAAATGGAAAAAGAAATTCATTGAGTTCAGATCGTGACATAATTTTTTAAATTTTGTTTGAAACATCATCATCATTATCATCATCATCATTGTTATCGTTAGGTTTTTTTTTTTTTTCTTTTGGTCGAAAATTTAAAGAGCCGACATTTTAGCTTACGAGTCTGGGAAATCTTCAACCTTAATTTTTATTTTCTTTCTCCCTCTCTCTCTCTCTCTCTCTCTCTCTATCCTACGTTCAGACTTTTAAAAACAACTTTTTTTTTTTTATATATGGTTTTATCATTATTATTATTACGTTTTTGTAATGTAATTACATCTTGCATTATTGCCCTTTTAGGTTCGTTTTTTTTTCTCCTCAAAAAATGTTTTTTTTGCTTCCTTTCAAGGCCTTTTTCATCTTCATTTTTTTTTTATTTTTATTTTTATTATTATTATTATTATTTTAAGTGAGCGAAGATGAAAGCAAAATAATAATAATAATAATAATTAAAGGTAGAGGGGGGAGGAATATTTCGTTAAGTTTTAAGGGA